GTTCAATATATCATCTTTGCCGTCACTGCTGCTGAGCTATACGTAATGACAAAACTGACTCCCTGTGGCACTTGTTGCAAAATAGTTGGACCTAGAGCCAATGCTGTTACATGCCTTATGTGTCGTGTGAATTTCCAAATTTCGGGTATTGGTTTGTCTTTAGATCATCTTAAACTACTGCGTGAAATTCAACATGACTTTGTTCAAATATTGTACAAGAAATGCCAAGCCGCGCGAGCCTACAAGGCGGGCGAAACGTTCCATAGGGAGGAGCTCCGTGAGTTCATCCAAGCAAACGGAAACCCAGCCATCTCTATGTTCGAACGAGCCCACAAGCCCAACGGCTGCAGGCTCTCCAGAGCAATGTCCACCCGCTGCTGGAGCCTCAGCTGACGTGGCTGTGTTGTGTACTACGGACATTAACATGGCCATGAACGCCAATGGAAAATGCAGCGAAGCAAAAAGGAGAGGACAACTGTCAGCAATCAGCGGCGTTGTAAGTTTAAGGTATTTCACACGACTGTCGACGGATGCTAGCCTTCAGGCTCATGGATTTTCTGCAGCCTGATTGATAGGCTTCTCGATGTGAATGAACAGGGGTTGCCGATGAAGCAAATCACCCGTCTTGGAAAGAGAGATGAGGGGAAGTTCCGGCCCCTGCGAGTCACGTTTGTTGATGAAACGAGTCCGAGGCTGATACTATCCCACCTCGGTAGGCTGATGGGTTTAAAGATCCATATTCGTCCCGATTTGGATTCGTCAGACAGAGAAAAACGGAAGTCCGCTATCGTGGAGTTGAAGCGGCTGACTGATCGTGGAGAAACCGATCTCCACATTGTAAATTTTCAGGTAGTTCCCCAGGTCCGGCAAACCCGGATCAACAGGTCCATGACGCTTCGTGCATGACTGGTGGTGGTCGCGTGGCAGCGAAGCGCGGTTACGGCGTAGAGCTGGCGATTTATTATTAATTTTTATCGTGCACATCCTTCGGATCATATCGCGGCCTGTGAGTAGCCTTCACAACTGTTTGTAGTTTAATGAGCACACGCGACAATGCATATCACTTCGTTACTTCCCGTCGTCCGGACATATTATTAGTGGCCAAAAGCTGGTTAGATCCTGAGGTTACTACCCAGGAAGTCCAGATCAGTGGCTACTCGTGCTACCGGTGCGACAGACTACCAAACAATCGAGGCGGCGTGCTGTTATACATTCGGCCCTCGCTGTGCAGGAGAGTGGTACACAACTATCGCAGCAACGATGGCCTGTGCGAACAATTATGGTACTCGATCCGCCTGAGACGAAGTGAACTGTATGTGGGTGCGGCTTATCACAGTCAACGAAGTCGACGCCTGGATTGATTGCCGCATCTCAGAAACCACATGAGTCAGTCCCGCTTCCTGTCTACCGGCGATTTTATCTTCCTCGAATACGGTGGCCTGAGGTTCAAGTTCTCCCAGAGCTCTGTGAAATCGAGGCGCAGTTTGCAGAGATGGTATTTGAAACTGGGGCAGCACAACATATTTGCGCGTTACACCGCATTCCACTTCATCGTGCCTGGACCTAATACTAACGAGTTGCGAGCAAGGTGTACATAAAATTCAGGTCCTGGAGCCTCTGGCGGCTAGTGACCACTCGATGGTATTAGCCAGCCTAGAACTGCCGCTGCCCTACTCGCGTCCGCCGGAGCCGTCGTACAATTATTGGAAGACCCAGTTCGATGGTTTCATTCGAGTCGCCAGTGAAGTAGACTGGTCGCTGCCGCAGGATTCATCTGTTGAAGCCACTTGGTCTGTTATAAAAGATGGTTTGCAACTGTTGTACGCTCGTTTCATACCCCTCAAGTATTGGGAAGCTGGACCAGTGAAACCACATTGCTTCGACAGAGAGTATGGTCAATTGGCTCGATGGCGACGCGTATTGTGGGATAAATAACTCATGTCTCGCTCTGCCGAGGATTACGTGGCGTGCAAAACGCAGTGGAATCTATGCAACAGCACAAAAGCGTCGGTAATTCGAAGAGGAACTTGAAACCTCAGTGAAAACGGCTCTCAAGGTTTTTTGCTTACGTGAAACAGCGCCTGAGGCCCGAAAGTGACGTAGCTGTGTCAGAGGACACTAATGAACAGTCGCTGACATCCAACAGTGAAAATGCGTTCGTATTGACGGAGCAGTTCGCTTCCGTATTTACGAGTAGTCATGCGCCTAGATCGAACTCAACGTGTGCAACCAGTTGTTACGTTGCTCTATGGGAATTAAGAAGACTGGGCCACGATCACAAAAACGTTTATTAAGATTACGCTCACATATTTATGGAGTATATAGACTATTTACAACGGTTCGTTGCAATGGCTCATCCCTGTTCTTTGCATTGTGTCGCTGACTCCTTTTCCATTGGTTTATGCTTGCTTGCCACGTTCACTCTGTCTAAAATCACCTTGACTTCCTTAGTGGGTGCACGATTGGTGGGATTGGGTCCGCGCGCTTCTTCCCTCGATTCAGTGCCACAAGCCTTGGCTAAAGTGTACACGAGTATACCCTCCTTCGCCTGCTGGCGCCTGACTGGTCACTTGCACATTCAGCGGATGGTTGCAGGCTGGACGCGATCACGGGCCAATAATTTCCTGATTGGTTGACCCATCTGCTACCGGCAACATGTTCACTCCCTATCGGTCCGGCCTGTGACGTGCAAACGGTCTTACAGCATTTCCAGCCCCCATCACATCACATCCTTTTTGGTCTTTTAGGATGGCGTTGCAATATGTTCCGTATTGCCTGCCACTTCGTGTGCGTTTAATGTCCTGGGCTTGAGTAGCAGTATTCCTCTCCGGTTGTGGTTGATGACCCTCTCTCTGCGGTGTCCACTTCTGACGCACTCTTCTCAGTTGCACCCTATTCCATCGAATGAGATTGCCCCCAACCTTGATTTCATAGCTCCTCTCTGTCGATCACATCAATGGTGAGTGACAATGCCAAGTAGGGTAAAAATGCGAATGGTATGGTGCATTTACCGTCCCTAATTTGACTGTGAGCCAGCCACACGATGATTTTAGTTGCCAGTGAATCTATCGCAGTCCGGTGCATGGATGTCATATTGGAGCAGCTGCACAGAACATGGTTGGTGGCATCCGGTTTCGGATTTGTCTGTCACCGTGGCCAGCCATAGAACGCCTGTGCCTACAGAGGGACCATGGGTGGTTTGCGCTGCAGCACCCACAGCTCCACCCACATACTAGACATTTTGCCATGGAATTGGCAAGTAGCCGACTTGTCATCTGTCCCTTGCCACATTTACAGCAAACGCGGGATTTAGTATGAAGCAAAGGAGCTCGAGTATCTTATCGAACCCCAGTGCAGGTGATGACAAAATGCAGGAGAGTGGACTACATTCTGTCCAAAGACAAATCAATAAACGGAATCAATCCGCCTAGTACCGTACAGTGAAACAAGCACAATTCTCGAATCGTGGTGGGTCTAGTTGTCAAGGGGAACGGTAAGTTAGGTGGAACGCAAAGTAGAAAATGAAATAGGTGCGTCATATAAGAGCCCAAAGGCGGGATGGAAAACGAACCGATGGACACTAGAGAAATCGAATGAAGGAGATTTATTGACCACGCAACCATCCCATGTTATATGAGATCGCCAGCACCTATTGTGACCGGTTTCAAGATCTCCGTCCTAGAAAATGGCACACGCCAATGCGACCAGTTTTGCCAAACAATCGTATTGCACCTTCCCGCCAATCTCCTGACCATGCACGTTGTGTCCCAATACGCACACTGGGCGCCTGCTCAAGCAAGGTCTTAAATCACTCCAGGCCGAACCCACTCATCATCATCATAAGACATGTTAGCTGCAGGTGGAAAACACCTCAACTATTGTGCCGCAATACAAAAGACAAGAAAAAGAAAAAAACAACCCAATAATGTACGCAGGACAAGCGGCGAACACGCTCTGGACACTCTATTCACCGGAGTGAGTCCGATAAGGTACAGGCGTAATGACCTTAATATTGATCCATCGATGACACTCATCCAATCATTTGCAGGCTGCGGTGCGTGGCATGACAGACATGACTGGAACTTGCGGTAGGCGCTATAACAAGCCCGCGAATTCGAGCAACTCGGTGTAGCGACAGCATGTACGAAGGTGAAGGTGATCCAATGAGACACGAAAAGCAGGACTTAGCTCAGATTTCGCGGACACTCCGGTGCAATAACACAGGGTTTCTTTCTAATTACCAATCGCTGGTGTTCCCCCATCCCTCCACCATAGAATGATACCTATGATAAGTTTATAGGCAACAGCAATAAGGATAGTGCCCCAAAACTTTCGCACAAGTACTATAACCTAACTAAAGTTGGAAATGACGATTGACAAACGTCGGTTTGAGAGCTCCCCTTCATCAGTGCGCATGGAATGTCGCAAAAATAGCATCTAAAGGGAAAGGTGAAAAGGTACAAGGAATGTGATCATTTGCTGATTATGCCACCACAGCTCTGTTGTGCATTATGAAGGCTTTAGGCCGTGAGAGAAATCAGCGCCCCACTAACCTTGTTGGCTGATATTTCTAGACACTCAACATGGTTGGATGACTGCAATGTGCAGAATGCCAATACCCCAATAGTAGACGTAAACTATGAAAGCACAGAAGATTAAGACATGCCAATATCCAATTGATGAAACAGGCCAGAACAAATTACCGGGAAAGACAGACGTGTTCTGAATGACACAAACCCCAGTATTACTGCAGCAAACCCCCAGGAAGTACAACTGATCGGAGAATCGAGATATCTCAGCGCCAGCACCCACAGGTGGGTGCTGATTCATCAACAACTAACGTTTCGGATAGTTAACACTAGTTAAGAACAGCACACGACGTATTGATTTTTGAGACCAGTGTGGAGGAGAAGCAAAAGACGATGACGGGCAAAATTGGCGAAAAAAAACTAGCACTTCGAAGTGAATCAACAACTAGGGTGTAGACTAATAACGCTTACTTGTTCATCCGAATCCCGCCCGGTAGTTGCAAAATTTCCATCCAAAGCATCCGTTCGTCGGTAAACCGACGTGGTGATTGCTTGTGTTGTTGACGGCGGCGGCGCAGAAGTCGAACTGGGCATCGTATAAGGTCGTTCCACTGCAGCATTATTTTGTGATCTGAATGAACTACGTTCGGCCAGAGTGGGTGGTCGAGAATCGTTGGATGCCCAATCCTCACCGTTCAGTCGTGCGGAGGCATCCGCGTTGCGACTCCCGCTTGTGATCAGGTCTACCAGGACGTCGTGTGACGAAGTGTTGCGATTCGCTGTCAGATGAAGCGAGCGTTGGGCGCGATTTGTCCGATGGGATCGAAGAAGTACGAAGGGAGGAAGACGATGATTTGAGGTATGCCGTGTGGAATCCGTTGAGTTGGCGACATTGCTTGTGAAGTTGTGCACGTAAGAGGATTCGGTGGACTGTGAGTCTGCGTGAATGAGAGAACACCTAGAGTAACGCGTCAATTGAGAGTATCGGCAGACAATAGCGCAATAGAGCTGGCGGTATTGCGTATTCCATAGTAGAAGAGAACATCAGGAACCAAACAGAGCAAGAACATGACACATTGCTACTCACCTTTGGTTGGTTCAGTGGGAGCCGCCGACAGATGGTGCACTGCCATAAGGTGTCGGGCCATGTGACGTGTCTGACGATTCTGATCCCCCTCAGCATGTGTGGCGCAAAGGGGGCAAATCACCTCGGCGTCACCGGTTTCCTGACCGGGATGAGATTGAAAGACGTGATGGGAGAAGGAGGTCTCGGTGAAGCCCAGTTGACCACACAGAGGGCAGGTGAAGCTGTGCACACTATATTCTGATGTGGGCTGAAAAAAAGTGATCACAGCTTACGCACAGGGTACGCACCAACACTTGCAAAAGTAAGCGACACGAGAAAAGAAATTGCGCATAGGTGCATGTATGTAATCTCAACAGTCTAGCAACTAGACATAGAGCCAACAAAGCCATGGAGATTAGCAGATAAGGGGAAGTCACTGCGTCATAATCATTGTGGCATGGTAGTTGAAGGTGAGCAACGCACTTCAGCTAATATGCCGCAAAAAGAATGGAAGATTTTGACAAAAAGTAGAACAAAACATTTTTACTTTGTTTTTCACACGCCGATTTTTCTCTTTTTTGTCATTTTCAATGTTGGTAGTATTAAACATGTGAATTAATACAATACTGTACACAATTCTTCCACCGATTGCAGGCCATGTCTTCAAGAGTCCCAAGCCATTGGCACTCCTCATCTTTGGGTCCCCATCCTGGAAGACGTACGGGTCCAGCAGCGGCTAGACACGACGTTGGCGATTTCATGTGCTGGCATATGTGCATACATGTTTCGAAACACTGAACTCATCACCTTGCGTCAGTTCGCCCTTCATCGAGCCAAAGGCTGTTTTTCACGAGGGTTCCCACCAACAAATTGGTCAACGATTAAGCGTGTACCGAAGTGCTGACAGCGTCATTACAGAATATAAAGGCAAAATACAAAAGTCCAATCATTACTTTCCGCAGTCTAAGCCGATTCGAACATCAACAGAAAAGGGCCTGTGAAAAGATTTCCTTGTGCCACGAACAATACAAAACGGCCCCAGTGACGGAGATTGGGTGCAGTTCAGTGTAACGACTTTGATCCGAGCATCGAAGTGCGGTGGATTCAGTTGCCACAACTTATTTGCAGGAATCTGTCCAAAGAGATTGGAGCCGCTCAGTTATAGTCCCAATTTTCAAGAAAGGCTCCCGTTCTGAGTGCGGCAATAATAGTGGAAGTAGTCTAATCTCAAGTGCCTGAAAGATACTCGCCCCTGTTGTTCATCATAGACTTGTTGGCATCCGTGAAAGCCAGATGCGCGAAGATCAGGCCGGGTTTCGTTGAAATCGAGGTTGCATGGACCACATCTTAACACTACGCCAATTATTGGAGCACCATCATATTTATTGGTGACCCACCGTTGTCGTGTTCCTATACATCAAAGGTGCCTTTGATTCGGTTGATCGATGTGCTCTTTGGGAGTGGGCTCAGGAAAGGTGCGTCCGAAAAATACGTAAACATTATCAGAGCGATGTACGTGCATAGTTCGGGTAGAGTGAGAGTTAAAGGCAAACATTCGCTGCCCTTCAATATCTCCAGCGGTGTGAAACAAGGTTGTCCGCTGTCAAATTTCCGCTTTAACTTTGTCATTGATGAAGTCACGCAAACAGTATTAGAAGATGTGGAGCTGCGCCCAGGTGACGGAATTTCTAACTCAGTATGTGGACAAGATTGCGCTCATTTATGACAGTTCACAAACGCGCCGAACTGTACTGGATAAATTAGCTCTGGCTGTCATTCGTTTCAAGCTATGCTTTGCACCCTCGAAATGCAGAAAGCTTCTCCAAAATTGCCAGGCACCAACCAATGCGCAGACCATTGGTGGGTATCAGCTAGTACTCGTCCAGGAATTTAAGTTTATGGGTAGTTATATTAGCACCCTTGCTTTAGTTATCTAGGGAGTTGCATCACGGCTGGTGGCGGTGTTGGAGATGAAGTCTCACAACGGATTACAAAGGCCCGCCTTGCATGCATCAAACTGAGACACCTATGGCGTTGTCGTGATGTCAGTCTCAAGCTCAAGGGCAGGGTGTACAATGCTTCCGTCCGAGCAGTACTCTTGCACGGCTATGATACTTGGCATATTCGCTCGGAAGATATGAAGCGGCTGTCAGTCTTCGACAATCGCTGCCTACGAAGGATTGCTCGGGTGTGGTGGCAACATTACGTAAGCAACGCAGAGGTGCGAGACCGCGTGCTTGGGGCGAATAGTGCCAGTCTTCAGAACGTTATTCTCCGACACCGCATGCGTTGGCTCGGACACGTTTTGTGCATGCCAGCCCATCGCCTTCCACGCTGAGCGCTATTTGCATTCCCAGGGAACGAATGGAAAAAGTGCCGCAGTGGGCAGCCAATAACGTGGAGGAGCATGAAGAAGGCAACCACAAGTTAGGCGGCAGTCGGACCAGTCCGTATTCAGGTTGCGGACCACGAGATGCTGAATCTCAGTGGTTGGAAACATTGGACGTCAGGGCGCGCAACAGACATCAGTGGCTTCAATGTTGTTCTGACATTTTATCCCTCCTTTAGTGCACACAAAAAACGCACTAAACAAAAAAATCAAAATGAGGTGTGTAAAACCAGGAAAGCGTTTTCCTTTTCTTATCGCATTCTGTTTCGAACTTCTCCATTTTTTTCTTCGGTCATGGTTCTGATGACACAATGTTTGTTAACAGACTGTGAATATATATGGATTGAAGAGGAGGTCACGAACTGAATAGCGAAAGCCCTGGGTGCCTTGGCCAATCCCCGCTACCAGTGGCGCCGGGATGACATTACTCTCACATGAAAGGGAAGAGTTCACAATGCAGCCGTCCAATCGACCCTCCTGTACGGTGGCGATACCCCTAGCCCATCTCAACTCGACAGCTTTAAAGAGGCTTGCTATGTTCGAGCATTGCTGCCTTTGAAGTTTAGCTCGTGTCTGGTGGGAACACCGAGTGAGCAATGAGCGTGTTCGGCGTCGTGTAGTTGGTGAAGGATGAGCGAGTGAACCGCTCAGTACACACTACGTGTTGTGCATACCAGCACAGTGACTCCCGCATCGCGTGTTGTTTGCGCTATAGAAGTCTGGATGAAAGGAGAAGAGGAACGGCCAAGCGATGACTTGGTCAGGAGGAATGAAGTCCCTCTCGACGAAATTGGCGTCGGTAGGTGTTTACCGACTGCCGGGTTGGAGTCCGAGGGACCATGGACAAGTATGGTTGGATACACTTGTTGATATGGCTAGGAGCTGACCTCAGTGGTGTTGAGTTTCTTTGTCTATCCCCTTCCCTGTGGCTTCCCCCTCCAACAATAATCTCAAACCAATGAATTAAGATGATTTTAGAATTAGGTTACTTTTCTGCATTTCTAGTTGGTAATGTTTGATTTCTTATCCTTTGTGTATTGTGCCGCATTAGCCGAGGTGTGGTGCTCACACTTGGCTAAGATGCAATAAGGATGATGATGATGACATCGCAAGAATAACGAAAAAATAACAACGGCAAGATGGTGGGGTTGGATGCAAATGGAATGTAGAGAAATTGAAAGCGAAAGGGTATGTCAGACTAATAAAAATAGAAGTAAAAAACAAAAACAAGAAACGGACTGAAGGAACGCCAGTGACTGCGTGACTACGCCAGGCTGATAGGGTCTCTAACCACTGGTGTGGACAATCTCCCAATCAATTCCTTCCAGTCTCTGTGCTACGTCATGGAATGACCACCTAAAGCTTTCGCCCAGATGAGAGTAACCACGGCGTATAATGCACGCCGAGGAAGCCGGACAACAGGCATACGGACGACATGGACTAGACAACGTAAGCGATTAAGATTCAGCAAACACTTGAGTGAGGCACCAGAAGGCTTCTTGCCGAAAATCCACTGGCGGACCTCAGCATTGCTCGCCCGATGTGCTCATCAGATTTGGGCAATACTCCACAAGCACCGGTGATCAAACACGCTCAAGGGTTTACTGTCTTCGCTGCAAACTGACCAGGTCTCCGATCCATACAGTAAGACATGGCTTGCCACAGCGCTATACACCCTGGCTTTCACTGACAGACTGGTATCTCACCGTCTGTATAAATGGTTGAGTCTCTGGAAAGCCACATGGGCCCTGTTCATACGCGAATTAACCTCCTCAGTGATATCATCACCAAAAGTGACACAATTACCAAGGCACTCGAACTGATCTACCACTTCCAGGGGCTATTTGGAAATAGCTAGAACAGGTGTGTCGATCCAGTCCTGCGACAGTATTTTTGCACTTTGAAGGTGCAAAGTACATGCCGAAGCGTGCAGTGTTACGCGTCGTTCTATTCAATAGTGCCTGCATAGCCACTACACGTCAAACTCAAGGAGAGAGCTATGTCGTCGGAAAACTCAGGGGTTATCAGTGAGTCAGTTGGCAGAACTTATACCCCCGATAAGTCTGAAAGACCATGAGCATTTACATAACAAAGTTGGAAAGGAACGGAGATACAGAACAACGCTAGAGAACCACACTTGCTGTGTGGAACTCAGGTGATAGTTTTCCGTAGACCCTAACATGGTCTCGTGACACACAGGAGAGACTGCAGAATGAGAAGTAGTTTAATTGGCACGCCCTTCATTATCTCCTCACATAAGGTAGCGACGTATGATAGCCTTATTGGCAAATCGCACGTCCTTGGTGTGAGATGAATACGCATTTATGCCGATGCTTGCCTTCGAAATTCTAAGCGCTAACCAAAAGTTATTATAACTTTTTATTAAGCTTTCGGCGCCGACGTATCGACGAATTATACATAAACTCTTCTTTTCCGGGTAATTTCGGTCACTTATTCCAATAAATATACTACGGGTGCCATCTACGAATGCAAGGAATGAAAAATAGACATTTATAATGTCCACAAGAATCGCTTGTTTTGAGGAAAGAAAAAAGTTATGATATCATGAAGGAATCCAAGCACACATCTGTACCTTATTTTGATACACCTGTCACCTAACTCCGCACTTGAAAATAATTGCATAAGCTTGCGAAACTGTAATACATTGGGTCAGATCCTGTTTGGGAGCAGCTTGATGCAGTCGATAAATCTACCGTGTATTAATTTATTTAGAACAATGTGAGAAATATGTGCTCCAACGTGTATACACAAACGACCGAAATGAGCTCACCTCCCCGTGGTAAAACAGATTGTGGTCGGCCTTTGGTATGAGACACTGCATGGGATGGGAGATCGAGTGCTTGTTGGTCGCGCGCCGCGTGTCGAAACACGAGCCACAGAGGTCGTAGTCGTGACAAATGAGACATTTGTACCGCCGAAGTCGGAATTCCCGCCGTTGACACGCATCACATGTGACACCTAAGGAGATAAAGCACAATAAGAAAAACAAACCAAAGCAAGGGTACTGTTTTGCATTTACACAAAGCTAAAGCAACCTGTCATTCAACCAATCACTGCAGCAACGGCAGAAATAGTCGAGGTTTGCATATAATCAGCACTGTCGGTGCATGGATGATGTGACAATCTGCCCCACGAATCACTCAAAGAAGTGAAAAAGCTGACCAATAAAACCGCTGGTTAGCCGGCAGGTTGATGTAAAATGATTAGCAAGGACACAATGTTGCGAAGAACACGCTTTTCGATAAATCTCATCAGGCGTTAGCAATGATAAAATGGAAAGTTGAAGCAGGATAGGCAGGTGAAGTGCGATAAAGAGTAGCGAATCAGAGCGAGGCTATCGTGCTGCAACTTTCCATTCTATAATGATGAGATGATGAGATTTATCGAAAAGAGTGCGCTTCGCAACCTTGTGTTTTAGCAATTCTATGGGTATGATTTTCGGATTCACATAAAAGTTGATCCATGCGAATTGACAAAACGAAGATGAGCGGCTCAGTAGTTAGAGGACAATTTACGAATCAAACAAGAGCGAGGATGAAGTGAAAGTTGATAAATGCTCATCGATAGTGAAAGTTGCACCGAGTGTAAGAATCTTTATTAGGCGCAGTAAGGGGGAATAAACCAGTATATGAGTTACGAAATGCGAAGGGTCTCATTGCAGTAACTCGAACAGTTTTGAGGATAAAAAGCAACAAAATTAAGAGGAAGTAGAATGCAAATTTACAACGAATATCGCCAAATAAAGGCAGCAGCGAAGTGCCAAAGTTATAATTTAACAGTAATGTTTAATCCATGACAACATGCGGAATAGTCCAACACCCACCGACCCAGTGGATCTAAAGGCCAGCAGCAGCGGCAACAGTAGCAACAATACATGTTAGCTGAGGATGAGAAACACGCCTCAGCTGATTGCCGTAATCCAAAAATATGATGGTAAAAGTGTACATTACAAAGAATGCAGAAGCAAGTAAGATGAGATTAAATCTTACATTATGCATTTCCAATGAGATCGTGATTAGAGGGGGAGGCTAAGCAGGAGGGGAATGGACAAAGAAACTCACAACAGAAACGCCATTGTGACCGACTCCTAGCCATGTCAACAAGTGTCCAACCAAACGTGTTCATAGTCGTTCGGACACCAGCCACGCAGTCAGGATGCAACAACCGAAACCAATCTCGAAGTAAAGGCTTTCAGTCCTCTTGACCACCCCTCCTTCTCTAACCATCCAGACCCCGGGTGTGCAAACAACGGACGTCGTGAGAGTCGGTGGGCTAGGATGCGCAACACGTGGCCAGCCACCGGAGCCTGGAGCGTGATACACTTGTGTTGAGCGACTCGCTCACTCTTCCTTCGCCAAATACACGACGTCGAACACGCTCATTGCTCACGCAGTGCTCCCACCAGACATGAGCTAAGCCGCGGAGAAAGCGAGGACCGAACGTCACTGGAAGAGAACACAATGAAACTCGCAAAGAGCTCCGGGAAAGACTCCGTGCTAGCCTGAAGAGAGACCGCGAATCTTGGTGGTCCCATCGTGCGTCAGCGATAGAAGTGGCCGCTGCCCTTGGCAATCATCGTAAGTTATTCCGTCTGATACGGGAAACGAACAACGAGACCTGGTGTTAGTGAAGCTATACGTGACGAGAGTGGAAAGCCTATTCACAATTTGTCAAAGCATTTGGAGCGTTGGGCTGAGCATTTTGAAAAGCAATTTCATCGGTCAGAATTGTTCGGTTCTTCGCCGGCCAGTGATCGCCCTGCTCCATGGGCCGTCCTTTTGGATCCATCCTCTCACTCAGAAGACGAACGTGAGATCGAACTGTTGAAGTTGAACAAAGCCAAGGGAACAGATGACCTTCATCCAGCCCTCTTCAAATTCGGAGGCTCTGCTCTTGTTGTTGATTTATATGAATTACTAGTGAAACTGTGGGAGCAGGAGGCTGTCCCAACCGACTGGAGCCGCTCCGTTATTGTTCCCATCTTCAAAGGAGGCTCGCGTTCGGAATGCGGCAACCATAGAGGAGTCAGTCTGATATCCATCGCCTCCAAATTACTCGCCTCCATAATCCTTCACAGACTGATTGGCGCTCGTGAAAGCCAGATTCGTGAGGAGCAAGCCGGGTTTCGTCGGGGTCGTGGCTGCATCGATCACATCTTCACCTTGCGTCAGTTGTTGGAGCACCGTCACACATATTGGCGGCCTACCGTAGTCGTGTTCCTCGACATCAAAGGTGTCTTCGATTCGGTTGATCGATGCGCCCTTTGGAATTGTCTACTCAGGAAAGGTGTGCCCGAGAAATATGTAAATATTATCCGGACATTATACGCGCGTAGCACGGGCAGAGTGAGGGCTTACGGCAAGCTGTCGCCACCCTTCAATATGTCCAGCGGTGTGAGACAGGGATGTCCGTTGTCACCTTTCCTCTTCAACTTCGCTATTGACGAAGTCATGGAGTTTGCATTTACAGGACATGACTTAGAAGGTGTGGAGCTACTCCCAAGAGAACGACTTCTTGACTTGGAGTATGCAGACAACATTGCTCTCATCTGTGACAGCTCCCAGACGTGCCAAGCCGCGCTGGACAGATTAGCACTGGCTGTTAGCCACCTTGGGTTTTGCTTTGCACCATCGAAGTGCAAAGCGTTCGTTCAAGATTGGCAGGGATCGCCTCCCGCGCTGACCGTTGGTGGGAATCTGCTAGAAGTCGTTCAGAAATTCAACTACCTGGGAAGTTGTATCAGCGCCCGTGGGATTGAGGATGAGATCACGAACCGTATAGCAAAACCTCGAAGTGCTTTTGCTAATCTTCGCCACTTATGGCGGCGGCGCGACATCACTCTTGCCCTAAAGGGTAGAGTGTACAATGCAGCAGTACGGCCGACCCTACTGTACGGTTGTGAAACCTGGCCGCTTAAAGCAGCGGACTTGAAGAGACTAGTTACGTTCGACCACCGGTGCCTTCGTAATTTAGCTCACATCTGGTGGGAACACCGCGTGAGTAACGAGCATGTTCGACGCCTTGTTTACGGCACAGGTAAAGGAACTGAACCGCTCAGCACCATCATTTCACGCACCAAGCTCCGATGACTGGGCCACGTGTTACGCATGCCAGCCCACCGACTTCCGCGACGTGCGTTGTTTGCTCACCGGAGGTGTGGATGGAAGAAGAGGAGGAGTGGCCAAGCGATGACTTGGTCCAGAGGAATGAAGGTCCACAGTTCGGAGCTGGCCTCGGTTGGAGCGTCACGACTCCCTGGTTGGGGTCCAAAAGACGATGAACACGTTTGGCTAGATATACTTGCTGACATGGCAAGGAACCGACCTCAGTGGCGTTTGTGTTGTGAGTTTCTTTGTCGCTCCCCATCCCTTTTAGCCTCCGCTCCAACCACGATCTCATTTCGCAGCGTAATATAATTTTACATAATAATTTTTTTCCTTGCCTAGTAGCCGGCAGGTAGCTTCCCGGAACGATGTCTATCCGTTGCTGGTAGGTCAGCTGGCACGTAACAGTTGTATTTATTTTCCTTATCTTTGTGTATTGCGGCACAGTAGCTGAGGTGTTTCCCACCTCCAGCTAACGTGTATAATGATGATGATGAGCCTCTGTATGTCCGTCGACCTGACATGCCAAGTTTCACAACCGTATTATAAACTCTTGAATCCCACGGGCACTAATATAGCCGCCCAAGTACTTGAATTCCTGAATGACTCCTAGCTGATCACCACCAATGGTCAGCACAGGGGTGGGTTCCTTTCAATCTGTGAGAGGTACTTTTGAGCGAAGCACAGCCCAAAACGATTGACAGCCAATGCTAATCGGTCCAGTGTAGCCTGGCACGATTGAGCGCTGTCACATATGAGGACAATGTCATCCGTATACTTCAAGTCAAGAAGTCGCTCACCAGGAAGAAGCTCCACACCTGGGTCGTGTCCACCGAACGCTGTTTCCATGACTTCGTTAAAAGCGAAGTTAAAGAGGAAAGGTGACAGCGGGCAACCTTGTCACACAACGCTGGAGATATTGAAGGGTGGTGACAGCTTACCATAAACCCTTAATCTGCGAGTACAGCGCTCTGAAAACGTATTTTTCGGACACACCTTTCCAGAACACAATCACACAGGGCACATCGATCATCCGAATCGAAGGTAAGACTTATGTCGAGAAACGCGACCACGGTGGGCCGCCGATAAACATGGCAGTGCTTCAACAATTGGCGTGATGAGAAGAGGTGGTTGATGCAGCCTCGATTTCGACGAAATCCGGCCTGCTCCCGCGCATCTGGCTTTCACGAGGGTCAGTCAATCTGTGGAGTACGACAGACGCAAGTAACTTACAGGCACTGGTGATCAGACTGATTTCTCTATGACTGCCGCACTCCGAACGGGAGCTTCCCTTGAAAATTGGGACTGGGAAAGTTTTCTGCTTCCAAAGTTTCACTAGCAACTAGTATAAATAATCTACAAGAGCAGGTCCGCCGAATATGAAGAGGTCTGGAGAAAATCTATCTGCCCCGGTGGCCTAATTCAGTTTCTACAGTCTGATCTCATTTTCGACTTGTGTGTGAGGGAGGATCCATGGGGACGGCTCAAGAAGTAAGGCGATAACTCTGACTGATTGAACTGCATCTCAAAGTGTTCGGCTTAACGTTGCAAGTGTTTTGACAAGCTGTGGATCGGCTGTCCGCTCTCGTCGCATATGGTCACACTAACACTAGATCACCTGCTGCCGATTTCCAGTATCAGACGGAATAGCCGCCTGCTGATAGTAAGGTCTGGCGAATATGCGACCAGTGATCCACAACGGTGTTTAATGAGTACTTACTCAGCCCGAATGTCAGTGTGCTTTGATACGCATTCAGAACACCTGGCTTCGCCAGCTCGCTGATGTCTATGCGCGCACAGCGACGTTGCGGGCGTCTGCCGAAACCCACCCGAAGATCAGTACACACAAGAGCG